CATCACACACACCATCTCACACACACACACCATCACACACACACACACACACACACCATCACACACACACACACACCATCACACACACCATCACACACACACACACCATCACACACACACACACACACACACCATCACCACACACACACACACACACACCATCACACACACCATCTCACACACACACAACCATCACACACACACACACACACACACCATCACACACACCACACACACACCATCACACACACACCATCTCACACACACACTGTGGTCCCGACACTAAACTCACATCAACCCCGGAATCGGCACTTTTTTAAAAAATAAAGTTTGATAAAGTTCACTCACTCATCCTCCCACATAGTGTGCACTCTCACACACACACACCGTCACACACACAGCACCACACACACACACCGTCACACACACACACACACACCGTCACACACACACAGCACCACACACACACACCGTCACACACACACACACACCGTCACACACACAGCACCACACACACACACCGTCACACACACACACACACCGTCACACACACAGCACCACACACACACACCGTCACACACACACACACACACCGTCACACACACACAGCACCACACACACACACCGTCACACACACACACACACCGTCACACACACACAGCACCACACACACACACACACACACACACCGTCACACACACAGCACCACACACACACACACACACACACCGTCACACACACAACCATTCAAACGGCACTGAGCTGATCTGGTGGTCCGGTCCATCACTAACGCAATGCGCTACAGCGCCGTAACACTGAAGAGCCTCAAAGTGCTTCACACGGAATCGCTGTCGGTGCAGTGACTGTGTTTTTGCGGACAAACGCGGCAGCAATTTGCACACAGTAACATCCCACAGACAGGGACGGGGTGAGGGACACATTATATCTGTGGGAATGTTGTCCGGGACGTCGGGAGAGAGAGACTCCCGTTTGTTCCCGGTTTGCGGGATCCTTAACGTCGCTGAGCTCACAGCACAGAGCTGACCTTCCAGTGCAGTGGTGGGGGAGACCTGGTGGGGGGGGGGGACCTGGTGGGGGGGGGGACCTGGTGGGGGGAGACCTGGTGGTGGGGGGGAGACCTGGTGGGGGGGGACCTGGTGGGGAAGGGGAGACCTGGTGAGGGGGGGAGACCTGGTGGGGGGGGACCCTCCCCCCCCCGGCACTCCCCTCGCACTCCACCCCCGGCACCAGCCCCCCTCCCCGGCACCAGCCCCCCCCCCCCGGCACCAGCCTCCCCCCCCCGGCACCAGCCCCCCCCCCCCGGCACCAGCCCCCCCCCCCCCCGGCACCAGCCTCCCCCCCCCCGGCACGCCCCCCCCCCCCGGCACCAGCCTCCCCCCCCCGGCACCAGCCTCCCCCCCCTCCCCGGCACCAGCCTCCCCCCCCCCGGCACCAGCCCCCCCCCCCCCCGGCACCAGCCCCCCCCCCCCCCCGGGTGACAGGCAGTGGAGTGAAGCTCCTCACCATTTGTTTTCCTGCGTCAAAACCGGCATCGACATCTCCAGCGCTCCTCTGTCCCTCTGTACTTGTGTGTCTCTCTGTCTCTCACTCCCTGTGTGTGTGTCTCTGTCTCTCACTCCCTGTGTGTGTGTCTCTGTCTCTCACTCCCTGTGTGTCTCTCTGTCTCTCACTCCCTGTGTGTGTCTCTGTCCCTCTGTACTTGTGTGTCTCTCTGTCTCTCACTCCCTGTGTGTGTCTCTGTCCCTCTGTACTTGTGTGTCTCTCTGTCTCTCACTCCCTGTGTGTGTCTCTGTCTCTCACTCCCTGAGAGTGTCTCTCTGTCTCTCACTCCCTGTGTGTGTGTCTGTCTCTCACTTCCTGTGTGTCTGTGTGTGTCTCTGTCTCTCACTCCCTGTGTGTGTCTCTGTCTCTCACTCCCTGTGTGTGTCTCTGTCTCTCACTCCCTGTGTGTGTGTCTCTGTCTCTCACTCCCTGTGTGTGTGTCTCTGTCTCTCACTCCCTGTGTGTGTGTGTGTCTGTCTCTCACTCCCTGTGTGTGTGTGTGTCTGTCTCTCACTCCCTGTGTGTGTGTGTGTCTGTCTCTCACTCCCTGTGTGTGTGTGTGTCTGTCTCTCACTCCGTGTGTGTGTCTCTGTCTCTCACTTCCTGTGTGTGTGTCTCTGTCTCTCACTCCCTGTGTGTGTGTCTCTGTCTCTCACTCCCTGTGTGTGTCTCTCTGTCTCTCACTCCCTGTGTGTGTCTCTCTGTCTCTCACTTCCTGTGTGTGTGTCTCTGTCTCTCACTCCCTGTGTGTGTGTCTCTGTCTCTCACTCCCTGTGTGTGTCTCTCTGTCTCTCACTCCCTGTGTGTGTGTCTCTGTCTCTCACTCCATTTGTCTCTGTGCACTTATCTCAGTCTCTGCGCCTCTCGGACCTCCGAGTGCTGTTGACTGAGGCGCCTTTATCACCAAACATTACAGCAGTGAAGGGCGAAGGTCGGACAACACTTCAGTGAACGGAATAACCCAAACGAATGCTGCAGCTCAGCATAAGCTTATCAGCCGTGTGGCTCCTTTACCCCAACATCCTCCTCCCCAGTGAGAAAGATCCTTTACCCCAGAGTTACTGGGGGGGGGGGGGAGGGGTTAAACTGTCAACTGAGCCCAATACTGTGGCAATGCCAAGGCACGTGTGACGCACCTACACACAGTGACTGTTTCTGGGGCACAAACCCAATGCAGGTGTTTCTTCTCCCAAAGTTACCATCTAAATCACAAGTTCCTGCCGACCCAGAGTGACCCGGACCGGCCTCTCAATCCCGGGCTGTGGGTTCGACCCCCACCCGGTCGCCACCTCAAACTGATCCGGTCTCGGCTGACGCTCCCCAGTGAGGGAGAGAGCGCCGGATTGTCAGAGATGTCCGTCCTCCTGATGAGACGTTAAACCTCACTCCCCGTCAGCACCATTCAGGTAGACGTTAAAGTTCCCGCGGGGCTGTTGGGAAACAAGAAGGGGGTATCACTCCCCCCCACCCCCCCCCCAACTCGGTGTCCTGGCCGACAAACCCCCAGATAAGTTTGGTCACTCTGGTCAGAGCTGTTGTGGGACGTCACTGTCACATTCACCTACACAGTCACTACATTTTACAGTAAAATCCTGAGACGTTCTGAGATGGTGTCCTGGTTAGAGGCACCTATGAAATATCTGGGTTATGATTTTTAATAAAACAGTTTCACTTTGGGTTATACCAGCTCGGGGTGAGGGGGATGAGGGAGACGGTGAGAGGAGGAGGTGAGGGGGGTGAGGGAGATGGATTGTTAGAGAGACGCATCTTGCTCTCATGGTTACAGCCAATGAGCGAGGCCGGAGACACAATCTCTCACTGGCGTGCAATGCCACATGTGCTAAAGTCCATAGATAAACATTAATCTCGTCTCATTAACACTGCTGCCTGACTTCCAGACAAACACCTCCGGCAGCTCCCTGGGGTCGGGTCCTCCACCCCAACCCCAGCCCCTAACCTAACCCCCAACCCTTAACCCTAATGCCAAACCCTAACACCTAACCCTGGCTCTGGGAATACCACTCGCATCCCTGGACTAGGATGTTTGTAGGTTCACAGTGCAGGCTGACACCCCAGTGCTTTATATAATAATAATAATCCTTGCCTTTGATATATCGCTTTTCACGTCTTCTCGATGTCTCAAAGCGCTTCACAGAATATTCTGTAAAGCGAATTGACTGTATATTTTGTGGGCGAAACGCGGCAGCCAATTGCGCACAGCAGCGTCCCACAAACAGTCATGGATTGAAATGACTAATTTATTATTGCTTTGGTTTGGAGGAATTATTATTAGGTGTGTGGAGGAGGGAAACTTGCCCAAGGTTTCGCCCTCTGCCTGGAAATGAAACCAGGTGTCTCGCTCGCAAGGCGAGTGCTCTAACTACTGAGCTACAGGACTCTGATTATTGAGTGTGTGTGTGTGCTATGTGTGTGAATGTGTGGTGTGTGCGGAGCTATGTGTGAGTGAGAGTGAGTGGGGCAGTGTGTGAGTGTGTATGAGTGTGCGCGTGTGCACATCTCACACTGCCCTCTGATCACCGCTGGGTTACGATTACTGACAATAATCACGCGGTGAGATCATCTTACCTTTCGGCAAATATAATTAAGGTGCACAGCTGTGGGAACAGTATACAATAATAATAAAATAATCCTTGCATTTGATGTAGCGCTTTTCATGTTTTTTTTTAGACGTCTCAAAGATGATTCACATAATATACTGTAAAGTTAATTAGCTGTATATTTGTGCCAATTGCGCACAGCAGTGTCCCACAAACAGTCATGGATTAAAGTGACCAATTTATTTATTTATTTTTCTTGAGGGATTATTATCAGACGTGTGGAGTAAGGACACTTGCCCAAGGTTTCCTTACTCCACACGCCCAACCTGCTAAGTTTCAAACCCAGGTCTCTCGCTTGCCAGGCGAATGCTCTGACCACTGAGCTATAGGACTCTACATAACAGCAAACATTAACCTGTCTCCCCTTCAGCTAAACCCCTGTATCCCAAAACCCCGTTAGTGGCTGGAATCCGACCCATGAGTATGTTGTGCTCTCACACACAGGATAATAATAATAATCCTTGCATTTGATATAGTGCTTGATCATGTCTCCGTGCTCGCCTCAGCTTTGTCCCACACGGAGCTAAGTGTGGGTTCAATTTCAGCGCAGACGGGCAGCACAACATAAACCTCTCTCACACACTGGGATCGAGAACTGCCCGACTACAGCACCCACTGACACAGACCGAGAGAGAAGAGTATAAACACGGGCTCAGACTCTCTGGAGTGTCGTCTCGCTCTGTGTCATCTACCAATGCGTCCCTCACGCAGTGTAGCAGCCCAGAGCTCCTAAAGTCCGTCAAGCAGGTGACAACTCCAGCTAGCTCACGTGGTGATGAAAGGGAAAGGATGAGGAGGTGATCACAGGCTCCTGTGAGA